ACTGGAATTCTAAAACTAAGCGGGAAAAAATAATGCTCTTAAAACTAATATAAGCACAAAAATTTGACTAGTGTGGTTAAATTTTTTCTCTTAACGGAACTAAGTGGTTGATGTTTAATTCATTTCCAATTTTTATCTTCAGAAAATAATGGCAAATTCATCACCATGCACCATGCATTATTAAAACAATTATTCGTATAATAATTTTTAACAACATATACTTTTTTTAATTTTTTAAGTATATTATCAAAACCATCTCTTATTTCTTTTCACTCTCTTTTTTTTATGTTTCTCAATGCAGCATTTTTTTTCCGCACCCATTCATCTGCGCACTTAAAGAGCAGCTGATATGTCAGGAACGCGGCAGACAGATGTTCTGATGCCGCATGCATATGTTTTGTACTTGTGTACCTTTCGGCCAGGTCGTTTATATAATTACGTATCCAGCACGCGCGCTCGCTCTTTCCATCTGAGGCTGCTGCTGCCGAGAATAACTGTTCGGCGCGCAGGTGATAAAAAATTGTGCGCTCTCTGTGTGTGTTTGTGCAGTCCCATTATAATAACGCTGGTCGTCGTAAAGAATCCCTGCGCAGCATTACGCACCTGGAAACAGGCATGTGAAAGCCTAATCCGCATTATTCAGAGCCTTTTTGCACGGCGGGTTGCGCGAAAATGGAAAAAAGATCTCATTTCGCCGGCGAGTAAATCACGTCCTCACCTTGCCCTTCCTCGTAAAAAATAACGAGAGAGAGAGACTGACGAAAAAAGGAATAATATATAAAAAATCTATCGTCTCACAAAATAAATTCCTCTTGCTTGCGAAATTATATTTTCCAAGAATGCTTCACCCGCAAGATGTTCTGTGAAGGGGTTGCTCCTGCCGATTTCCTGCGAGAGGAAACACACCCTCTCCCCCTCGGGGTTGCGACCGAGAGAGCACCAGATGACGAGGTGACAAAAGTCATTTTTCCGCCGACGTTTTGCTTTCTCTCTTTCTTTTCTCCTTTTTCCGGCTCTCTCCCCGCAAAAGCTGCATTTTAACGCCGGGAGAGGAAAATTTCCCTGGCTGCACGCCTACCTCTCTACCTAACGGCAGGGAAAAACACATTTAAGATTTCCCGCAGGACCTGTTACCGATGCAGGAAGCGAGCAAATGATCTGCAGAAAATCAAATATTCCGCACCAGCTTTCCCGGGAAAAAGCCGGGCCGGAGCGAAAGAAGTCCAGGCCGGTGCACAGCTTGGACTCGTTAATAATTTGCCGGCGTCAAACTTAGTTGTTTCTCACTTTGTTTCGCACAGCTGGATGATAAATCGAGCTCGGACGGTGCAACAAGAACGAGTTGTATAATTTTTTACGAAGGCGGTACCGGCAGTGGACACGATCTCCGAGCAACTGGTGGAAGCTTATTTATGTTTAATTAGAAGGGTGTAAAAGTTTTACTCAAAGTTTTTTGGAGAGCCATTGTAAATTTCCTCGCCGGGCAGGGGGAGAATTAATTTGAAAGAGGGTTGAAAAAAAAGTATCGGAAAAGGAAAACTGTATATTACGAAAGAAAATCCTTGGCTTTAAGCTGGAGGCTGCGGTAATTGAATTGCTGCTTTTGTCGAGGAAAAGAAAGAAAGAAAGGTCAATGGGAGTGAATCAACGACGAGAGAAAGGAAAATTAACAGAGAGACGCCGGAAAAACGCATTCTCGGCCGAGAGAGTAAGAATTTATCTAACGGTAGTAAAATTTTATTCGAACTCGATCCTGTTTTTTATTTTTATCTCCTGATATTGCGGGGTGGGTCTTTTTCGATGGCCGCAACACGTACAGCTGAAACGTTCTAGGGATTGGCGGAATCAATAAAAGTTGCAGAGGGAAAGTCCTTCGGGAAGAAATGTGCTCAAAATTCAAATTTAAGTGGAGGCCTCTGCATGCGGTACATTAACAAACATCCCCTGCCGGTTGCGGGAAAGAGTGTCATCCCCTTGCACGCCGACGTTCTATAAGTATGTTGGTTTTGCCCTCTCTTTTTCTCACTTCCTTGCCGAGAGAGCGGGAGAGGTGATACACAAAATAAAAAAGGGATATATTCCCGGAGGAGCGACGGCCGTACAAAATAAGGCATGAAAAAAGCGTCCCGACGGAGAAAACGCGCGCACGAAAATAGTAGCGCGACCCGAAAGTGAAAAGCGAACGCTGCTTTTTGTCTCGCCCTTTGGTTTACCGGTTATTTGTCTTTGAATGCGAGCGAGCCTTTGATGTTGGGGAGCCGTTGAGACATAATTTGTATAAATCAAATTACTAAGTTCAAAAGTTGGCCTTTCGGTGACAATTACTCAAGGGGTTTTACTTGTTGGGCGAGACAGCCGCTTTACGCTACAACAAATGAAGTTTGCAATTTAATTTGCGTAAAATTTCACCCTAGAGGACTCTGATTGAAATCCTGGTGGTGCAAATGAATCTGACAATAAGGCGTTGATGGAGTTCTCTCGATAGGCAGATGTGCCTTGCCTGCGCAAGTTTTGTCGAATCTCAAAAAGGTTGATGATTTAGATTGGGTGTATTTATTGTTCATAGAATCGTCTCAAATTATAATCTTGCAATGGAAATTTGTAAAGCATACAAATCAATCCGGGATCATAATTTCATAAAATTAATTAAAATTTATAGAAAAAAAAATTTTTCTAGCTCATATGAGAAGAATGAGAAAATAATTAATAATTTCAACATTGAAGGACAAAATTAAAAATAATGAGAAATAAAGTTCAAAAGTACTTCTTGCAAATAAATTTTTAAGTGAATGGTGCAAAATCCAAATTATTTTATACCCATTTTTATAAGTAGCATGTCTTCAAAAAGAATATCAAAAATGCGAGCCTCTTGAAGTGAATTTCCAAGCAATTTTTTCCTCTCAAAACCATCTAGCTTCTGCGCATCTCTTTCTCTTTTTTTCGAAAGCGGAATGTTTTTAAGTATATATAAATTTCTCATCATTTGCAGCTTGTTTATTTAAATTCAGCGTCATTCAATGCAAATTTCCTCTCGGTGCCGCGGCAAATAATGGCCCGTTTATGCAAACGCCGCCTAAATCTACATTCAAGATTAGATTAGCCCGACGCATACAGCGCACGAATTTCAATTCGCGCGTGTGTGTCATGACGCGGGGCCACCGATGGCCGAATAATCGACACGTGTGCCGAAATGGCAAACTCGTGTGCGCGTAAAGAGGCTCTTGTTATTATTTACTCTGTGCACAGAGACCGGCAGACAGACACACAGAGAGTGACTCTCTATCTCACTCGCGATTGAATATTTGATTGACTTTCCGTGTAGTCTGCGTGCAGCTCTCACACTCAACTCGGCACCCCCGGAAGCTGCTGCGAATTTCGCTCTCCGCGTGTTAAATCATTGATTTTACAAGAGCAATGCCACCCCTGCGGAGAGACAACTGCAAGCGAAAGAGAGATAAAACTAACTGCCTGCATTTCGGGTGAACTAAAAGCTCGCTGTTGGTGCCTTTTGTGCGTGGAAACCGATAATAAGTAAAGGCGCGCGTGGCACCAACAGCCCGATGGAAAACCAATAATGTTTTCAATTACGTTTCGATCTTATCCCCCTGCAGCTCGGAGAATCGAATTTCGCTTGTGTAGGAATAAGTCTGGAAATGAAATGCTATCAGGCTAGGGCAGAGCAAAAAGAGAAAAAAAAAAACTGAAAAGCCAATAAAACAAGATAAAATGGAAACAAATTGAAAGGAATGAAAGAAAAAAGTTAGTAATTTATCATCAGTAATTCAACTATCAGCAGCATTACTGTTTTGGAAGCAATATAAATATAATTTATATTATTAATGAGTAAATCTTAAGTTAAATTTTTTTAAATTAAAAATCTAACGCTTTTTCAATTCACATCATTAATACCACTCTTATGCTAATAGAATAAGTGATTTAAAAAAAAAATATCAAAATAATGTAGACTTTTATATTTAATTTTTTTTTTAATTTTTAAATTAAATACCTTTCATACTTGGCATTTAAGTCCTCTCTTCAGTTAAAATATATTTATAGTATTTATAGAATGAGAAATTTTAACTAATCTGTCAGTTGGGAAATTATTTTTAATGACTTTACTTTACACCAGTCAACTCTGTCCCATCACGAGCACAATCAAAGTGCAAAATGAAAAAAATAATTTTTTTTATTTGTGTTTCAAATAAAAGTTGGAATAAATAGGCTTTTATAAAATGGATATACAAAATGAATTTCCTTTGACAGCGAGTATCAAGTGAAAAAGGCTTTTATTAAAATAGAATTTTACCATAAAATGATAAAAATTGCCTTAATTATACGACTAACTCGCTCCCACACAACAATTTCCCAATTTCGCTCATCGCTTTATTCACCGGAGCCTATATTTTTAGTCGCTAACAATATGAAAAAGGTTCCAATTAAAATTAATCGGTGCAGAGCGTCAACAAAGTGGAGTGGAAAGTTGGCTCCGCTCAGATATATATTGTAAAGCGCTCTTGCGCGATGATAATTTTCGGTCGCCGCGCGTAATGGACCAACGCCGAGAGCGGCTGATGGGACGCGTTCAGTGGCGCGTGAAATGCACCGGGCCAAGGAGGAAGGAGTGCGAAATTACGTGGTTGTAGATAGGTTAGGTGTCTCGTCGATTCGGCCTGCCTGCTCTTTCGGAGAGGAGAAAAATGACACTTTCCGCGAAATAAATCAAACTTGCGCCGGGGTTTTGGTGCCAAGTTGGCTTTAACCGTTTGAGCTTTGGGAATAGAAGAAGAATCGCTGCCGCATGATATCCGTGACTTTCCATTTGTATTCGCCCTTCGTCTGGACGGGCCCGCAATCAATTCGGTCCCCTTGACTTCTTCTTGCGGCATAAATTTCGATCGAGATCACCCGAGAGGCAATATGCCGCCCGTAATAATACGATTCGAGACATCTGTTGAGTTATGCCCATTCATTCTTATTCTTATCGTCCATCTTTGTTGCAGGAGTCGGAATTGTGTTAGTGCTGGTCAGCGGCGTTGGCTGGAGGCTCACGGCCCACGACGCGCCCTCGTGCAGGGCCATGCTGGGCCTCGGCGGTCACAGCGCGAGGGCAGCAGGCCTCAGCGACGGTGACGGCGCCGAACCCAACAGGAGATTCGTGCCCAGACTGCCGCCCTCGTATGGGCGACCACATCACCCTTATGCTGGTAAGTTAAGTTAATAATCATTTGAAAAATAAATTAAATTAAATTTTTTTAAAGCAACTCACGTCAAAATGAGATATTATAAGAATTTTTATTTGCTTAAATTTTAAATTTAAGAGATTGCCTTATCATGAATTGTAAGATTCCTTTTGTATTACCAAATTCAAAATTCAAATTGAACAAAGATATTTATCATAATTATTTTCTGGCACTTCAACGTGAGCCTGAATTGAACTTTCATCAAATTGAATAAAGCAAGTAATCGTTTCAAACATTTGAGACCTGTTGCGCAATGAAAAAATTTCCTATGATTGTAAGTTAAACCCGATCTTTTAAACGCCATTGATCATTCATTTTCACTTCTGCTGACCGCAGAAATTCAAAACGCGCCCATTCTTATATAGTCTCTCAACCGACCGCACTCTGAAGTGAATGCCCAAGAAGGAAAACTAATCAACTTTCTTTCTTTCGTTTTCCAGCCATGATTTATCCCGAGTTTCAATATCGACCGCCTCCACCTTCATATCAAGCCTCGATGCAGGAGTACAGGCTTCGGCTGCTGTTGTTGGACAGAGGAGTGTCCCAACCGCCTCCGCCTACAACATCCCCCATGGCAGCTGTTTCTCCGCCTCCGACCTACAGGTCGAATGTTGGCTCCATGCTCAGGTAATTATTTTGAAAATTTATCCAGGTACACAATAAGTCTGATTGATCAAATTGCAGATTTAATAGTTCTTTTATGATTACAAATAATAGGCTTTTGGATCGCCCTAAACCCTAAATACAAATTTAAAATAATAACAAAAATGAATATTAAAAAATTAATCGGTTCATTAAATCATAGTTTTCATGGGTGTTCAACAAGTTATTTATTTAAAAATGCAAACAAAATTATAATCTTTTGAGGATTTCTACTCTGGATATAAAATAAAATCACTTAAAATTATTTTAATTCAATTTTAACTTAGTTAACAAATAATAACTTTCAAAATAAAATAAAAATAATTATAAAAAATTAAGAGAGATTTAAAGTAAAACTTATTATAAATAACTTTTTTTACCTCATTTAAAATTTTTTTAAAGGTTCATAGTTTTACTAAAACTGTGCGAGAAAAACTTTGCCTTAAATAATGGAATTCAATGTAATTGGAATACATACCAAAATTTTTACTTTTAACTAAGAAATTAATTTTAAATTACTAAAAATGAACTAATTTTTATTAATCTTGCTTATTCCTTTTTTTCTATTAAAATAAAATCCATTTCACTAAATATTCCTTGGTTTTCAGGGCTCCAATGATATTCCGGAGGGACAATAACCAGTCAGGACTAACCGGCGACGCCAGCGTGTGTTCGAGTCGGCCGCCCAGCTACAGATCGCGGGCGGGATCAACGCGGCCAGCGAGTGTGGCGGCCGGGGTGGAGAGCAATCCGGCCGTCGGCCTGACGCCCACCCCGTCCCCGACGCCACCCTCGCCGCAACCACCCTCAGTGTCCGTGATCTGCGTGGGCAGTCCGAAGATTTTGGCGCCAGGCGCGGCGCCCATCGAGGTTGACAGTGAGAAGGCCAGTTTGCACGAAGAGCAGGGACACTTGGTCACCATAGTGCAAACGGGACACCACGAAATCTCGTCCGATCCGGGCGTCACGACGGTCACCGTGTCCGGGCTGCTGGCCAGCACAAGTACTGACTGTGGTCCGCGTCACCTAGTTTTCACGCCGACGTCCAACGAGGGCGAGATGGAGATTTTGGCGCATCTATAATATTTAAAATTCTTACTGCACTTTGATTTATTATTTTTTTTTTCGTTCTTTTCGATTAGACCAAAAATTATCTTGTATGTGATCCGCCGAAATCTTTGTTGAAAATTACAGCCGGACGATCGAATAAAGAAGTAAATTCTCTGAGTGCCTCCAACTGAAACAATATAATATATAAAAAAAATGCTGAAATTTTAGTTGTAGTTGACTACTCGGAAGATGAATCAAACGATCTATAGTTATTAAATATATATTTAAAAAGCAAAAAAGAGAAGATGCCTACGAAAAGCTCGTGTAGTTATACAATTAAGCAAAATGTTTTCAAATGTACATAGTCATTGTATATACCCTAGGAAAATGTGAGACCAATTGATTAATAATTATCTATATAATTATGGTAAAATATTACACACTGCTTTTAACTGTCGAATGGTGGAATCTGTTCGACGGAGAGACTTTTTATCTCTGCTGGTTGTTTACTCATATTGATTGTCATATGTTGTGAAAAGTTTTTCTCTACGCGACCGTGTTTTTGCTTTGTTCTTTAAAATCTGTACTCTACCTTTACTTGTCTTATTTGAATATAAAAATAATGACTTTTTATCTTCTGTTTATTCCCCCGATGACTCACGCATCTATGCGGCTATTTCAATTTTGCATGATTGTTTCGATGTTTGGTTGTTTGACAGTTTCAGAGAAAAGTAAACGTTTAATTGTACTCCACTCTTATGATTTTATTTAAGGAGTGTAAAATAATGTACCTGTATTAAACCTTCATAAGCAAAGTTTGAAAGTATTTTAATTAATTAACCTTACCTCTAAAAATCAAAATTTGTAAAACGTTTAAAAACAAAAAAAATTCCATGAATATATCTTAATGAACTCCAAATATAATGTAATATAGTGAACTTGAAAATCAATGATTAATTAATTTAGTGTGTTTTTCATTAATGGTTCATTTCAAAATTATAAATGTATAAAAAAAGTCGTAACTTCTTTAAAATCTGGTGTTTATTTTGCTGGAATAATTTTCGTAAATAAAATCAAAATTGTTTTCCATATAAGCAAGCACGCAATGAATAAGAGAAGCACGCCGATTTGGCGCTCATTTTGTTAAAAATTGCGCATGCGCCTGACTGAGGGGCGTCGTTTGTTTACATGAGCAAAAAAACACAGCATCCGTCTTGTTTCGCTGTCTTTTAATCGCCGCTAATTAGGATGCATCCTGTTAAATAGAGCAAATTAGGATGGAATTCGATCAGAGCAACATCGTTGAAGGGGCCGACGGGCAGAACGCGCCGATCGAGCGAATCGAGGAGCTCTTTTCGCTTCTCGACTTGGCCGAATCTCAGGTGTGTGGGCGGAGGATTGCGAAATAATATCTTTGATTTGACACATCTCGAGAGAGTTGTGTGTGAATGTTCTTAGCAAACAAAGGGCTCTGTTTCCAGGTGTCGTCGAGTGCTGATAAGGCAATAAAGGACATCAACGCATTCTGCGACGCCCTTTCGGCCGCGATCGAAGCCGCGATCGAAACTCGGAAACAGGCGCTCACAGCGGAAGTGCTCAAAGCCAAGGCAGAAGGCATCGCCGGGCTGAAGCCTTATCGCGAAGCGGTCGGATCAAGACTCGGCACCATCAACGAAAGCGATGCCAACATCTGCTCTGCCCTCAGTAGACCTGGAAAAAGAGGCCGTAGCAAAAAGTAAAATGTTGTTAAAACTTTTCCGACATTTATTCTATAAATTTTATCTTTTAGCACTCTGAGGATTCCACGTAAAGAAGAGCTTCCGCACATTTCGGTTCAGCTTCCTGGCAGGGCCTTGCAGACAAAAGTGTGCAACGAGATTATGGCGGCTGGAAAAGTGTCAAGTCGAGGCCCAGTCCAGCTAACTTTCATTGAGGAAAAGCCAGGAGCTTTGCTTCTGAATTGGGAAGAGGTAAATTTAATTTTATGAAATGCTCTTGATGAATGCAATTTTAATTTGAAGGTCGACCAAGGACGGGCTGTAGATTTCTGTCAATTTAGACTTCAGCGAGCCCACGGTGATGCTTGCCACAATCCAAGCCTCGAAGCCAACTTCCACGACATCTACAGAGGACCAGATGCGTCGTTTTTGGCAAAAGAGTTGATCCCTGGGGATCCTTACACATTTCGGGTGTGCAGCAGAGCTGAAGGAGACCAGGAATGGAGCGCCTGGAGCTTGCCCAAAGTTGCCATTACAAGACTTAAGCATTTTGGTACTTTTTGTCCTTTAATTTTTCTTCATATTTTTTACTGAATTATCCTTTATTCACAGGTTGGCAGATCGACAACCCCAACTATCAAGTCACAAATGATAACAAAATCGCTTCAAAAATCTCATCCGACCCGTCAGTTCTGTACTCATGTGGTGCCCAATTTGGCCCTGGCCATTCAATTGAGTTTACGGTAGGTCCCAAAATAAAAAGTTTTGTCAAAACTAAATCAAAAAGGTTGATTAGGTTCTGGAGGCAAAGGAATGCATGAGTGACGAGGGCTTTGGTCTTGCTTCCAAAAAGCTTGCTGGTGATTCGCTGTTCCAGACCGGCACTTTGATAGTTAACGGACAAGGTTCATATTCTATCTCGTACCCAAAATCCGATTATAAATTTAACTTCTAATAAAACAGGTTCCATATTTGTTGATGGAAGTGCAAAAACGACCAAGTTGCCAGCCCTGACCCTAGGGTCAAAAGTCACATTCACCTGCGAAGAGGTAGCCAGTGACCGGATGCGCGTCCACATCGACAGCGATAACAAAACCGTGACCTACGACTGGCGTGTTCCTGCACAACCACTCCTATTTGTCCTGGGCTTTGGGCAAGTGGGTTGGAAGGTTCTTGTCGAGTAAGACCCGACACGATGATATTTTTACTAGTTTCACCATAGTCACAAAAAGAAACTGAGATTCTTCCAATACATTACATACTCCTTTACAAAAGGGACCATTTTTCAATAGCCGCAATGAATGTTGAATGCCAATCGGGAGTTTTGATTGGCCTAGATTAATATAATTATTAAGAATTTCTCAGCTGGAATTTAGAATAGTATTTGAGAGTTATCAAATTTCAAGTCACTTTTGAGCATAAAAATTTAAGATATTTATAATCTGACTTTGTCTTATCCCTTGTCAGACGTGAGACCCATCGAGACCAGCCTTGGTGGACTTTGGTCCATAAGCAATTTTTTTTAATTATAAAATAATTTCGTTTTTAAAATACAATTTTAATAATTAAATTTTAATTTATTATCAAGTCAATTTAATATACATCTATTTCAATAATAGGTTCAGTTCGATGTTTATTTAGTGTCAACCTTTTTAATTTTGCTTAAATTCGTAAGTTTTAATATTAAATTTCCACTTATTCCAATTTAAATTACATTTGATTAAAAAAATGAGACCCACTGAAAATACCAATGATCTTGATGGGTCTCACGTTCGACAAGGAATTTGAAATTTTAACCTAAGTGCTCTGCATTTCTTCCTATATTATCTTTGTATTTTTCTAATGCATTTAATAATCTTGCTCTTTTGTCAAAAGAACCTCACTTGAGTTAATTTTAGCTAGTTTTTCAGCACTACTTTATTTTTAATGTCGTCTTGAATCGATTTCATAGGTTTTATTTTCATTGATCATAAAAACATTGAATTGTCAGGTAGTAATAAGTTTTGTGAAGTCAACTTTATTTTTTGTAGTCAAAGTGTGTAGGTTACACAAATTTACATGAAATTGGAATAAAGAAATGAGCCTTACATCTACAGAAAGTCTCTTTTTTTGCGTCACACTTTCAACCAGAACACCCTCGACAGCCACAATGCACACACTCGACGATTCGCCCCTAGAGAATGACAAGACAGGAGTTACAAATATCAAGATATACTTTATAAATAAATTACCTCTTCCAATTTTCCTTTGGGGACTCGGCAGATGCAATTTGTACCAAAGTTTGTGTCTCTCGTCTGAATGCATCGAAGGCAGCACAGGTTTTCGTATCCCTGCTTCTTCCACTTGGCTATCAAATTCGCGTCGGCAATCTTTTCCTTCAAGCAGTACTCGTACAATTCTGGAAGTAAAGTTAAATTTAATCTTCAAACTTTAATAATTTCTTATTTTGGAGGTCACAAAACAAACCTTTGCTGATTGCCTTCCTTCTGTAGTAAAGATCGTATATGTATCGCGACTTTTGGTGGTGGATTTTGAAAATCGGCCACAACGACTCGACTCGGCGCTTTCCCTCGTGTGGCTCAGTTTCGGCTGAAAATTTAAAAAATAAATAAAATTATAAAATTGCGGCAAGCTGTGATCCCAATTTTGAATTTATAATAAACCTCACCTTCGCGCATTTTCTGCTCGATTTCCTCCAGAGTCGGCTCAATCAACTCCCAGCCATCTGGAGGAGGCTTCTTACTTCTTCGCACTTTCGGCATTTCGGCAAAAGAAGACAAAAATTAGAAGAAAATCCCTGATTTACACACGCTGTTTGTTTTGGTTGCGAGTGTGCAAATGTCGCTTGTTTTTGATTGGCGGAAAATCCAACATGGCCGCCGGTGTTACCCTGTACGGAGACACCCTCTGTTGGCGGGACGCGAAACCACTTGGCGAATTCTACGTCCGTCTCATTTCTTGCTGTCAGTGAGCGAGTGGAAGTGGAGTTGGAGTTTGCTTTTGCTGCGTGATGTGATGTGTTGACGAAAAGGTGTCCGAAAATGTCAAATACAGGCGGGTCCAGACGCAACGGGACCATGAAGATCCGCGTGACACGTAAGTACCAAGCGCCCTCCTCGCACGCACATCCCCGTTTCGGGCCGAAAACGCCCTGGTCGGCGTCTGTCGCGGTCGGCAAAACTCGAAAGTGGCTTTGTTGTTCCGTAGCCAACATGGCCACCGAGCAGCAGCAGGGCATGGGTTAGGTGGAAGAATAAACTAACAGGAAGCGGTCCAGCTACAAGCAAACGCACTCGCCAGCTTTTCTCACGCAATTTATTTCGCACTTCTTGCCGCATTCCTCAGCAAATCGGCGCCGCAAAAACGTAGTTTCAATCCGGGAAAGGCGTCGCTGGTTTCAGGGCGAGCCTGAAAACCTGAATGTTGTTACGTACCTGAAAAGGATGCTGGATGCGAAAGGTGGCGCAACACCCAGGTTGAATAAAAAATAAAACGTGCGAAACGCCACGGGAATTTTTGATCCAGTTTTTATTGATGATTTTTATTGTTTTTGATTAATTTAAGACTGAAAGCACCTGTTAATCCTATTATTAAAGGGTTGAAGGGCAAATTTTAATGAACAATTAAACAATATTATTAATTAGAAAAGGATTAATTTTATTGTTCAAATTTCTTCAGATTGCAACTTTTTAATTTATGGACTTGTTTTGAAAGTGTCCAATTATAAATAATTAGGTCTCGTCGGGGTTAATTGTTAATTCCATTTTATCTATTGATTCAATTAATGCATTATTTATTGCATTTATTTGAGAGGCTTCAGAGTGAATAGTTGGATAGGCTAGAATCCTAATCAAGGGCAGACCTCACTTTGATGACCGCAAATAAAAAAAACGGACAACATTGACGTCAGCGAATCAAGCAACTCAATATTGCAAAAGGGAGAAGAATATTATTCAAATTTCAGCGACAATGTTGTCAGTGATTAATTCACTTTTCATTCATTCCTGCAGCGTGAAATCCAAAATTACAAACTATTATTAATATTATTAACATTTTTAAACAATCTGGTTATTTTAAATAATGAAAGATTTAAAAAAGGGGATATTCTTAATCAGCTTTAAAATCTTGCTCCAGAATTCAAACGAAAAAGATATTTTTAAGAGGTTTTTGGTGGTTTTACTGAAACTGTGCGAAAAAAAATTGGCATTTAGGAATGGAATACAAACCAAAATTTTAATTTAGAAATTAATTTTTGAAATGGCTCAAAAATTAATATTTTTGAGTCACAAAATATCAAAATTATCTGAGGAGAAAAAGATATTTTTTAAATTTCATATTTTGCTAAACAATTTATCATTTTGACTTGTTTGGAGGAAAAAAAATAAATGAATTGATTAATTTTTAAAATTTCTAAAAAATTTGGAAATGCTTTATATCATCAAGTGAAATCTTATTTTTTTTTTATACTTTTACTTTTTCAACCTCAACTTCCTTAAAATGCGACCAAAAAATATGACATCTTAATCTGCTTCCTGTAAAACTAAATTATTCATTTGATAAGTCATCCTCGGTTTTGGTCTTTTGGTCAGGAAGTTTCCGAATATTTGAACTTTTTATCATTTAAAAAAATCCCACGCCCAAAGTTCCAATACCGGGTATCGACCACATCCTTCCGATTGACGTGATTCATGTAAATTGTCTTCTTCATTCCCACAACTTCTCCATTCACGAAAGTGGAAGGAAACGGAAAAGGATCCAAAGCGATTTTTGCTCTTTTTTTTCCTGTGGGCGAGATGTTGCGTGAAATCGAAGCTGCCCCCATCCTGAGTGTCAGCTGGAGAGGAAGGGTGACGGCTCCTCTCAAGGTACCCACTCGACTCCTCTTCGCCGCATTCCAGCGAATTATTAGCCGGTTGCGGCACCACCGACCGGAAACCGCCGCCGCCGCCGAGCGCGATACAGATCGGACACGACAATTAACCCGCGGCTCCATTATGTGCGCGTCATGCGCCTTTTGTTCGCAATTCGCGTGATTTGAATTTTCATCCGAGCCGCGACTCTTTTGGAATTGTTTACTTTTCACTTGCGAAACACTGCGCATTTGCATTTAGGTGAATAATTTGTGATGCAGAAGTGTTATTATTTTAATTTGAAAATTTTACGAAGCTCAAACGCAAATTTGTTTGCAATTACAAATGTTTTTTTTAAATAAAAATCACGAATTTCTTAATTTATAGTTAAAATTTTATTCATGCAAATTTTTTTTTTAAATTACTCAATTTTACAGTTTTTTTTATTTTTATCACATACAAAGCACAACGGATAAAATAAATGTTTTGGGTAATTAGGGAATTTATTAATTGAAGTTGAAATTGGCATTCTTTATTTTAAACCAAAGTTTTAAACTTACATTTTCAGCGAAAAATTGTTCATGTTATAATTAAATTTCGATCTATTTCTTATATGAAAACCAAAACAACCACAGTAACTTCAAATCACTTCAAATGATTAAAGATAATAACTGCATTTTATTATTACTTTTATTGTTTATTTTCCTTGGTAAATAAAAAATAATTGGAAATAAGAAGATTTTTTCATTTTTAATGATTTTTAACTAAAAAAATGACGATTCAGACGATTGCATAATTATATTTGTCTTTCTTTAATAAGCTTATGTTACCGTAGTTGGTTCAAATGCCAATATCCTCTAGTGTTTTTTTTTCTTTTCAAAGAATAGCAGAAACCATTGAAGAGTAATTGCAAGAAAAATGTAACAATTTCCACCCTGTTTCTATTTATTGCTAGTTAGTCGTTTTTTATTCAATTCAAAGCAAGAAAAAGTGTCATTTTTTTATGTCGTCAAAGCGCTCTTAAAACTGTTAATTATTATTATTTGTTCAATTTTTACATAACTTTTTCCACAAGAATTTTAAAATTTTAATTACTTTTTAATTCTCCAAACTGCACTTATAATTTACTTATAAACAATTACTTTTTTAATTCCTCATATTCTTTTTGTAAATTTTTGTAGTGAAAAATGACATCCAATTTTTTTCTAATAAATGAAGCTAAAATTTTCACCTAGATTTGCAAGATTAATAATTTAACATTGTGATTTTGCAAATCTAGTTTTTTATCGGATTTGCGCAAACTTTTACTTATAATTGATAGTGATCGAAGCCGTTTTTCACCGACAATAAATCGCGGAAGCGGATAAGTGGCGGTATCAGATCGGCACCGCGAGTACCGCAGAGAAAGTGGCCGCTTAAATCGTGCACAGATAAAGCGTGAGAAGAGGCGAAAAGGGTCAGGTGCCCGTGGTGTCACCAGCCGGCGCGAGTTGCCCAACAGGATGACACTTCAACTTGCTCCCAATTAATGCCTTTTGCCGGAGCACGCGTGCGGTGGGTGGCTGCGATGGTGACCTACTTGTTGATTCTTATCTGCGCCGGCTACCGATTTTCTTTCTTACGCGATTTGATATCGGCCAATCTCGCGGGTGTTTGCTCTGATAATCTTTTCATCGTCAATATTTGTCTTGTCATTGCGCTTTCATTTCTTTATGAGTGTCTCAAATTTCTAACCTTATCAGAAGCAATTCAAAGTATTTATCAGTGTTTAAAAACAAAAAATCAATCAGTTGATAACAGTTTGATTGTACAATAAAAATACTCCATTTTTTATAAAAACTGTACAAAAAAAGTTGGAAAGATTGAAATTTCTGGTGATTTGAATTTTAAGTCCTCAATTTATGGACAAAAAATTAGTATATTAATTAATTTTATGAAAGTATTTTCATCAAATAATTTATTTTTTAGCAAAATTGTAAAACTGATAAAGAATTTTTCCAAAAATATTGATTATCTGATGAAAATACATTTACAAAATTAATTTATGTACTAATTTTTGTCAAAATAATTTCACAGCTCGTGATTTGTGGCTGCAGCCCGCAGCCGAAACATGTAGTGTAGAGCAGGATTTTTTTCCTTCAACAATAAACAACTCACGAAACCCATCAAGGAAAAGCAGACTTTTAATTCAAATCACCATGAAACAATCCTCGATCGTGAAATTCTACTAAAAAACCTATACAAAAATAAAAAGCTGTAAATTTTGTATTATAATTGATTTTAATTTTCCCTCATATAAAACATAATTATCAATATAGTGAGATTTATTTTCCGACTAAATTTTGTTCTCTACCAAAATTAACTAATTTTATCCAACTTGTGTCTGTTGAAAATTTTACATTTTTTTGAAACCAGTATTAATTTAATTTTAATAAGACTTAAATTAAAGACATATTTTGCTTTTTTAATTTGAAAAAGTTCTAATTATTTCCACCAACCAAAGCTTTTAGATTTAGGTGTTCAAACCCGCGTTAGACTTGAAAACCACCGACGTACCCATTAACCAACTAATTCGATCACATTCTCAGTCGTCTGTGTCCTTTTGGAGACTTTGAAAGAGACAACTCGTTTATCACTCAAATTAGTATAGTCTGCGGCGTAATTAACTCGGTCGTCTGTTGCGAGTCCAGACTGAGAGTCTCCGATCCAATAAATGTGTCGACGGCTCGTTTGCTCTGATTGGCGCGGCGAGACCTGCAGCTGATTTGAAAGAAAAAAAATCGAAGGGAATTCGTGACGGATGCAGGATGAAGAGGAAGCTGCCGATGATCGCAAGAGTAATTCACGGCGCAGCTGCCAGGGTGCTGCGCAAACAGGTGTGCGTTGCCAGACGTGCGTCCGTCGCTCTCTCAGCAACAAGATAGCGGGTCGATTACAATATTACAAATAAAGCCTCGTTCGAAATCAAAGAAAGAGAGAAAAACTCACTTTGTTTTCCCACTGATTGCGAGTGTGAGAAATAATGCACTGCATTCTGGATTCGACAATGGAGGAAAAATTACTTTCACTTTTGAATAATAAAAAAATTCAATTTAAATATGATTATGACGCAATAATAAATAAATTATTAAGTAGAATTAAAACGATTTTATTAATGTTTAATGGTCCATTTTTCCATAAATTTTGAATTTTCATATCAATGTTTGGTCCCAAAACAAAATTTAAATTTTTATATTAAGATATATT